AAAACTTATTTGAGAAAACACAAGGAAGTTACTATCCAATGCTCATAATTCTTACATGGATATTCACAGAAAAAATGGCCCTTTTTGAAATAAGAAAATTCTACATTATCCAGGCTTTTGATTGACTATCAAGCACTGAGAATAGTAAAGCATGCTGGACAGATTTTGTGTGCTTGAACTGTATTATAAAGGAAGAAATTTGACATTATAAAATGACAGTATGACAGTATTAATATGACAGTATTAAGGTTGTAGGTTGTTAAGCTCAGAATACATGGTGTAGGTTAAGACTTCATTAATAATTAACTTTTGTACATGTACTTATTTAACTTAAACATATTTATTTGATTAAATTACTATTATTAGGGAGTATATACATTTGTATTCAATATATTTGTATTAAAACATTTTATAAACTGTTAAAAACCATTGTTTAATTCCTGTGGCATGTCTTTAATTTTGAGTTTTATGAATTATGATTATAATCTTTGTTCCGTGCTGGTACACAATTGTACTGACTGTTTCAGTTTAAGATGAAAATATATTTCACAGAGTAATTTACCGAATGAAATTTGCACATGTGTGGCAAAGACACAAGTAAAGTATAATATAACAATATATATATAACAAGTAAAATATAATGTAAACTTACATGCAAAACAAACTTTTTTTACTTTTTATCAATTCATTTTTATCATACCCCCACAAACGAAGTTTAGGCGGTATATAGGAGTCATCTTGTCGGTACGTCACTCGGTCCACATCATGGTTTCAGGACGATAACTAGAGTTTGGAATGAGGTATTGTAATCAAACTTGGTGTATAGCAAGCTTATATGAAGACACCAGTTGGTATTGCATTTGGATCCCCCTGGGGTCAAGTTAAAGGTCGCCATTACTAAAAATAGTAAAATGGTTTCCGGACAATGAATAGAGATAGGATTGAGATATTGTAATGAAACTTGATGTCTAGCAAGTCCATATGAAAAGCCCGGTTATATTGCATTTGAACCCCTTTTGGTCAAGGTCACTTACTTAAAATAGTAAAATGGTTTCTGGACAACTAAGAGCTAGGAATGAGATATTGTAATCAAACTTTGTGTATAGCAAGCGTATATGAAGACCCCAGTTGGTATTGCATTTGAACCCCCTGGTGTCAAAGTCACGTTACTGAAAATTGAAAAATGTTTTCCTGACAATAACTAGAGTTAGGAATGAGATATTGTAATCAAACTTAATTTATAGCAAAATATATAAAGACCATAGTTGGTATTGCATTTGGACCTCCTGTAGTCGAGTAAATGGTCTCAGTTACTAAAATAGAAATATGGTTTCTGTACAATAACTAGATAGGAATGAGATATTGTAATCAAACTTGGTGTATAGCTAGCTTATATTAAGACCCTGGTTGGTATTGCATTCGAACACCCTGGGTTCAAAGTCACCATTACAAAAAATAGTAAAATGGTTTCAGGACAATAACTAGAGATACGAATAAGATATGATAATCAAACTTGGTGTATAGCAAGCTTATATGAAGACCCCGGTTAGTATTGCATTTGGACCCCTGGGGTCTAAGTAAAAAATAAAATTATTGTTTCCGGACAATAACTAGAATTATGAATGAGATATTGTAATAAAACTTGTTGTATACATGCTTACATGAAGACTCCCTGTTTGGACGCTATGGGGTCAAGGTCACCATTACTAAAAATAGAAAATGGGTTTCGGGACAGTAATTAGATTTGGGAATGAGGTATTGTAATCAAACTTGGTATATAGCAACCTTATGTGGAAACCTAGTTTGTATTGCATTTCGACCCCCTGGAGTCAAGGTCACCGTTTCTAAAAGTAGAAAAATTGTTTCTGGACAATTTCTAGAGTTAGGAACAAGATGTTGTAATCAAACTTGGTTTATAGCAAGTGTATATGAAGATCCTGGTTGGGATTGCAATTAAATGAAATAATTCTTTGTACACAGTCGGTACTTCATTTATTATAGGTTTAGTTCAATTTTTCTCTTCAGACCACTTATTTTTCAAAAGTCAGTTGCTGGTAGGGTTATTAATCACCTTTAGTGATGGCTCTAGTTGAACATGATCTTAACTGTTAAGAAAATAATTTCAAAAAAGAGCTACTGTTCTCGCCCTTTGTGCCACTGTAACACTTTTATTTTTTGGGGGTGCGAGTTTGTATCTCCAAACCCACTGAAGTGAATAAAATGAAGCTTCTTACACTACCTTCTCTGATTATCTAACATCATGGGCAAAGGTCCCATAATATATACTGTTTTACAGAGTTATGCCCCTTTTCTTACTGGCAAGCACTAAGCAGAGTTGAGCGTGCTGTCTCACAGACAGCTCTTGTTACACATAGTTTTACATGTTTACCTTCATGACATCATAAACCTTGATGTCGCAATATCAAAATATTTATATAAAATATGCAAATGTTTGCGATTCCAGCAGGCTTTTCTACTGACCCCTACTTTTCCACACATTTTTCAAATCCTTACCTTTTACTGAATTAGCCCTATTATCACTATTTCAAAAATACAAATCAATCATAATGATGCTAGAATTATTGCAAACATGTACTCCATTTCTTTTTGTGTTTTCAGTACCTAATGATTTATTGTTTAAATTGTTAAGGTAAATGTAAATGGTTTCACCATTGACCTTGGCCGAGTCAGTCGGCAGATTCTAGGCCAACTGATTCATATCAGTCAGGGACAGAAAAAAATATACAAGCAACCTAGGTCCGTCTTTTGGGTGATAATGTGTTATGATAATTTCGTTCTAAAACATCAAGAAATTGCTACTGTATCCCTTTCTTTTTATATCAAAATGTCTTACTTTGCCATACATTTTGGTAAGAAAATGCCCTACTTTTTGTTAAAGAGACAGTAAAAAATACGAAACACAGTAATCATGTCGTTACACTTGTGTCAAAATTTCATTCTGCTGGGTTGTGTTGGTGCGCTGTATAACAAACCAAAAACGTATGGTGGGAAGATGTGAAATTTGCTTTTTATATGCTTTCCAGTACTGTTTGACAACAAAAACTATATTTTGAAAAAGCATGTAAAACAAATAACACTGTGCATATTATTTACTGTGAACATTTATTTAAGTTGACATTGTTTGTTTGTTTTGGGTTTTACGTCACATCGACACAGTATAGGTCATATCGCGACGTTCCAGCTTTACTGGTGGAGGAAGACCCCATGTGCCCTTCCGTGCATAATTCCTGGCACGAACGGGCACCTGAGTAGGACCACTGACGTTCCGTAAGCTAGCTGGATAGCTTCCTCACATGAAAGAATCCAAAGTCCCTGTCGGGATTCGGGATTCGAACCCACAGCGGTGAGGGGCAAGTGGTTTGAAGTCAACGACCTTAACCACTCGGCCACGGACGCCCCTTTAGTTGACATACATATAAAGAAAGCATGTCAGTATTGAGGACATATTTAACATTAACTTAATATTTCAAAGGGTTGTTGATTTATGATTACAGTAAGTTCTCAGTTTTCATTTCTTTGTTCCAGTAATTAAGATATGTGTTTGATGTTTCCTGGGGTATATAGACAGTGGTTTATTTGATATTTGAATGGATTATTAATTTAGAAGTATACTTGATGTTTCGCTTGGTTATAGAGTTATGAAAATGTGTGATAAATTGTTCATGGTTTTAGATAGATGAGACAATATTATAATACTTTTGGCTATATATTTAGTATTATAAATTGTAGACAATACAGACGTTTGATATAACACTAAGCTTTTGCTTTCGTAATTTATAAGCTCACCAGAATTGAAGGTTCGAGGTGAGCTATTAGTATGAAAGCGAGATGCTTCAGCGTCTGTTGTCATACGTCAACAATAGTCTTCTTCTCTGAACCTGATGGGCAGATTTACCTCAAACTTGGTCTGTAGCATCCTTATGACAGACAAACTTAAATATGCTCATGTCGTTTCAATTGACCCCTTTTTGCGGTCAACAAACCTAAAAATAGAAATACCTTTAGACATCTTCTCCTACTAAATTAAATGATGGATGATCACCACAATTTGTCTGTAGCATTCTTAGGTAGTCTTTTATCAAATTTGGTGATTTTGATTTGATTGGCCTCTTTAAGGGGCCTCTAGAACTAAAAATAGAAAATCTTTAGACTCTTGTCTTACAGAACTAATGGATGGATGATCACCAAACTTTGTCTGTAGCATTCTTAGGTAGCCTTACCAAATTTTGTCTGTAGCATTCTTAGGTAGTCTTTTATCAAGTTTTCTCAATATGAATTTATAGTTTCATTAAAAAAAAACATGGCTGTTTTTTATGGAAAAGACCAACTTTTCTTGGGCTGTAAGAGGGAATGCAGCTTCCCATACATAGTTTATTCATTCTTTTACCCAAATTAGATATATTCAGTAAAAAGTTATTTCATTACATTTCATTGATAAAAATATTTCAATCAAAGTTAAGCATAGTATATCTTTCATATTGAAAGGGAAATGTGTACACATTATGCAATTTTTCTAAGCTGGGAGAAATTCTTAATGTCATGACTTGTTTGCAAGGTCATGTGCTTTGTATCTGAACAGTAAATATATAAGCACATTGTCTTTCATTTAAGACTTCACTAGACATTATTGCACTGTGGCAAAGTGTATTTGTATAGAAAAAAATTATGTCTGGTATTTATGGACACTGTTGAACCTGAAGTTTATGTGCAAAATTGAATTTTTGTAGCAGTTGAGCTGTAATGGATATTATTGAAACCACTTCACCAACTATCTTGTTTTTAATGGAAAGACTTTAAATTTGGACCAGGATGAATTAAAAAAAATGTTGTCCAAAGCTGTAACTCCAAGCATCTACACCTTATATATTTTGCACGTGACAATTTGTGTATTCATTCACAAAAATTATAAAAAAAAATGGTACACTCTTGCAACATAGCTATTTTTAACAACAATTATAGGTAATATAAGTTTTTCATTCATCCTTCAAAACAAGAAAGTCTCTCGGTAACAGAAATCGATGAAAATGAACATTCTAACAACCCAGCTCAAAACTTCAACTTTATATTTTCATACATTGTTAATGTAGTATCCCATTTAAGAAACACAGTCTGAAGTTTCCTCGCACAAGTACAATGGTATAACTTCATAATACATTATACTTAAGACCGATTTAAATAACTGATAATACATTAGTTTACATTGCCTGCCTCTAAATATTGCGACTCATTAACTTGTGTTACATTTATTATATCTTTGACAACACATTCACAAATGCTAACAAGGTAATATAAAATGTATTTATCATTGCTCGTCTTGAACTGCCTTATAACACATTATTGTGTCCATTAACCGAATAACATATACACAGTAACTGTTCATTATAGGTCACTACACGAAATTTGTTTGCATTGAATTAGTTTTTTGTATGACCTGGAAAGTGTTCTATAACATTAAACTCATATGATATGATCTCTAGCATTACGCTGAGGACCTTGGGCGAATGTTCACATTGTAATCTTGTGGACGCCGCGTCAGTCCAAATATTCCCTTAAACGAAGGTAATTCTTCATCGCTTGGGGCTTGAATATCTAGTTTTTGTACAATTGTTGTCACATACATGAATAGCTCCATACGGGCCAAAGTCTCACCGAGACATGACCTTGGCCCGAGTGAAAACGGGATAAGTTTTTCAGTCCCAGTTATTGATGTCTCACTTTCGTTTAGAAATCTTTCAGGTCTGAATTCTTCAGGCTCTGGAAATATATTTGGATCAAAATGAACTGAGTATATGTTAGGTAATATTGTAGCATCTGCTGGTATTTTGAAGCCTTGGAATACAGTATCATGTAGGACGGCATGCGGTACAGAAAGAGGAACAACGCTTCCGAATCGCAGAGCTTCTAGGATTGTTGCTTCAACGTACGGTAATTTCTCCTTGTCTGACATGGAAGGTGTTTTGTCTCGAGGAAGAACTACATCTATTTTATTTTGTATTTTCTTTTTAAATGCAGGGTATTTGGTCAAAGCAAAAATTACCCACTTCAATGTTGTAGCAGTTGTTTCACTACCGGCAGCCATCAGGTCATGCAGAATAACCCACACGTTTTCTCTTTGGAATGTTTTACTAGTTTTCTCAGCTGCAATGCAATAATCCATAAAACAATTGTTTTCCCCAGCTCTATAATTGTCATAGTTAGGTTTGCAAATTTCCTCAAAATACTTGCTGTTGAGAATAGCAGTAGTGTCTCTTACTTGTAAGCCGAGTATATCTCCTGGTAGGTAATAGAGAAATGGAAAGCAAGCATTTAATGTCTGTGTTTTAAGATGACGTTTAAATGCTTCATCAAGTTTGTCGAGATACCATATGAACTTTTTATCTTCGTACCCGACACGACGTCCGTGTATAATACCGTAAATGATATTTGCAAAACTCAATGTCATTAGCGATGATAGATTTACTTTCGTGCAGTTTAAACTACTCAGTTTCTCTGTGAAGTAAGTCAATTCCTCATTTATTCTGTCTTCTAAAGTAAAGCCAGTCTTCCGAAAACAAAGCTCACGGAAAGCTTGTAAAATAAATTGTCTAAGTTCCTTCCACGACTGACCGTTCCCAAACACAATAGCAACACGGTTTTCTCCTCGTAGTTGATTTTTCGGACGTTTAGAGAAAACTGTCCCCCGTTTTACTAAAGCTTCGTGTATTGTATCATAGCCGTTGAGGAATATTGTCAATTCTGACCCTAAATACACTCCAAATATATCTCCATATTTCCTACGTAGTTTACCAAGACTGTCAAGTGTATCTCCGCCAATTAACGATCCAATGTTTCCTATTATAGGCCATCTATTTGGTCCTGGTGGAACATTTTTGTCCCGTCTTGTTGTTAGATATGTTATCATGAATATTACAACAGCTACTAGAATTGTTCTCCAGTTTTCAATGTCTAGACTTAAAACATCCATCTTTTAAATGTGATAAAATATTTACAAATTATTTGCCCTTGAATATGTTATCTTTATTAGGTCAACAATTTAAACACACTTGAAGTTACAAGTTCAACTAAAGTATAAGCACGTTTACGACAAAGATAATGCGTTTAGATGAATATTTGTTTAACATTTCAATCTTGTTTAATTACGAGATGTTTCCATGGATTTTATAATGTACATTTTGATGTAATTGAATACTCGTAATGATTAAAATAAACAGATGGTTTGGAAAGTATTATCTACTGTTTTGAATGCCAGAATAACCATTATGACTTATCACCTTTCTATAATGACTCGTATTACTGTATATTACTGTATAATTAAAAAAGCAGAAACAAAAGTATATTGTAACTATACCTGTTTTTAAACACTGATGCCTTGATTTTCATACTTATCTTTTAGCAATTATAATAGTTACGAATTCTTGTTAAATTCTATAAACGGACAAAGAAGTAGCAATTATATTACAGTTAACAATTCTCGTTAAATTCTCTAAACGAATAAAGAAGTTTCTTTATTAAACAATGAACGACCTCAACAAAAGTGTGTTACTATTAGATTTTAATAGTTTGGTGCCTTCTGGGTTCCCTACTTGGGTGTGTCTGGGGGCTGCTTCCCGTGAACGTTGCCTTTGCCTTGTTGATCTTTATTCTTGTTTTTTATGCAAAAAAAAAAACGAACGCGAAACCTAAACCACACATAAAATTCTCTAAAATCTTAATTTCTTGTTACATCCTTTAAACCGATAACGAAGTTTCTTTGTTGAACAAATTAAACTTCAACAAAATTTGTTGCTGTTATATTTTTACATTTATTTCTTTTCAGAAGAATATTCTTCCAACATTTGGCTTGTAAAGATTTAACTATTTGAAAGATCAATATTGCCAAAGCCATATAAACGTAATATGAAAGGAAATGGGTCAATCAAAAGTTTTGCAAAAGTACATAAAACTTGGTGTCTTTCTGAACAAACTTGAATGATGAAGAAAACGCTGTTCTATAGGGCGTGCCGAGCTAAAAGAATTTAGAAAAAATATCTAAAAAATTGCTAAATGCCATATAAATTGTCAATTTTGAATATGCCAAATGATACAGACTTATTCAAAATATTGTATTATTAAACTGTGGAATGATCTTTGAACATAAAATACTATTTTTATAGCGATTATATGCACGTATTTGCGCTCTGAAAATGACGTCACTCGTTAATCTATGTAAAGATTAATTTGTTCAGGGTACAATACTCTTGGTTATGATTTTCGCCTAATATTTCTCAATTCAGTCCCATGTACTAACCTATATACGTTTTATTTTTATGACCTATAAATGATAAGTTAATGAAATCGGATTTGCTAACTATTCTGATCAGCGGCGAAATCACATTATCTTTAAGGAATCACATTCACCAAATTTCAACATGAATTATGAATATAAAACTGTGTCATTAATTGACTTGCTTATAACACAAGCCTTACGTTAAAGGCACATAATGACACAGAAAGGGCAAATATTGTAATGTTTTTAATAATGACATGTTAACTGCTTATTATCTGAAGAAAAGAAGTGTGAATGTGACAGAAAAATATAAATAACTGTTATTGTAGTAATTGCCAAAAAGCAGCAACAGAAGCAAAAGGTAATTTAAGAAACTAAGCAATAACTAACGTTTTAAGAAAATATACTAGGACACAAAATGTTAAATGGTTTTGAGAAAAAAAAACACATTGAGCATAATGTGCCTTTAACTTTAAGACTGCAATTATTTTTTTCCATTTCATTTTAAATGTTAAACGGGCTCAATCAAAGCGACCATACAACAATATTTAAATTTTGCCCTTTTAAGGCTTTTTTCTCTATTTTATCTAGAAATCTACCGAGAAAACACCAACAACAAAAACCTTCGTCACTGACAACTGCATACGAATACATGTAAAGAAATGCATTAAATTCTCATTTTGTAAGGAGTTTATGTTTATTAGCCTATATTTATATTTGACGACAACATTTATTATGGTGTAACTTTTTTAAGAAAAAAGGTTGTTTAGTACACAGCAAAGGCATAATTTACGAGCTTCTTCAAATAATAATGCAGACCTTTTTATAGTGCAATATTAAGATAAAAATCTCTTTATATACAGAAGATATATGTTTTTGTTTATTCTGAGATCATCATGGTTAATTCATCATGACCTTCCCACAATTGATATACAATACCTAATAAAACTGTAAACTCTCGATGCTTCAACTTAAAGTCAGGAAGAAACTAAGGTTATCTGTGATTCGACTGAACAATGAACAATTATATGTATCTGTGCTATGCAGGCTTTATAGCCTCTGATCCCCTTTCAAAGTTCCATTTTGTTTAGTTCCGCCCATTGTTTTCTCGTTTAGGGTACAAGCATTTTGTAATTTGGGGAACAAATGCCGCTTTTAATGGAATGGTACTAGTGTGCCACATTGATAGTTACATGATCTCGGCCGTATGAATACATCTGCGGACTGTTTCTAAATTCAAAATAAATTTTACCATAACATATTTAAAATTTTTTTTTAAATATTAAGTTGCTGATTTACATTCTTATACAAAAAAGATTTCATAATGATGACATCTGATATTTTACGTTTTTTCTCAGTGATACCAAAACTGACAATCTATTAACTTAACTTAATTTGATTCTGATATGTTTTATTTTCTTAGCCAGATAAATACCTATTTTATTCCATAAATGTTGTACTACATGACATTACCAGTACATGTGTTCTAGGGTTTCAATGTTCATATTCCAAAAATAACACGAAATTGATTCTGCTAGTTTACATTGGAACAATAGTTTTCAATAAATGTTATATTCTGCTTAAGCCGGCGTTCGGGGGCATGAACAGTAGCATAACATTTCCAGTAATGTCCATGAACAGGCTCAATCAAATCAAGCCTGCAACATTTTCAATTTTGCTATGTTAGACCTTTTTAGGATTTCTATATTTCTCTCTATTATGTTATGGTCATTTAATATAATAAACCCATTATTAATACTTTTTAAGTTGCTTTGAGTTTGTCTTATATCAGTATAATGCAGGCATTTTAAAAGAACATGTTTTACTATGTCTCTGTTACATAATGGACATATTCGGTCGTTAACTGTAAGTCTTTAATATCGAATACTTTTTAGTGTGATTGACGCGACTCAGCGAAATTGAGCAAGTGCCGATCTGTGGAAGTAAGCAAACTTTAATATAATCCTCACTTTCAAAGATGAATTTAATATTCCGGTATATTCGCAATTTATTACTTCCAGTCCTTTGTGAACAATACAACCCATGTAAGGATTCAATTAATGAACGTTTTCTACCTCAATATATACTCACTGAAATGATAATTTTTGAACAACTCCTTTACTGTAAACTGCTAGTTTCTAATTGTCTTCCAGAAACAAGTTATATAATATTTTATTAATTCTTGTATCTGACATTTTTGACAATCTACAGAACAAGTGTACTACACATTTAATTGTCCAGAAAAAGTTTGCTACCAGCCCATGGCACCTGCAACAGAAAGGTTAGGTGTGTATTTAGCAGTTCCCATGAGAAACATGACACTGTTTTGAAATACATCTGTCTAATACCCCAAATGGCATCACTGTACACAAAAACTGACCAAACAAGGGTGTATAAACAGAAATGGCATACCACCTACTGCCTTGAATTTTACAACTAATAATCCCTGTACCCTTGCTGCTACTTTTGAATACGAACTAAGCAGTCACTTTATAATCTAAAATTCATTCAGAATCAGCGCAAGGTAGGTATACATCTAAATGTATTCAAGAACTTGATCATTGAATTGAAAAATAAAACGACATCGTTCTTTTAGTTATGTTTATCAGCAAGTGATTATTTCTTCAACATGTATGTAAATAATCTATCATCAAATTGAAAATCACGTTCGTTCTTTGCAAGATGACTGTAGTGTCTACATATATAATATCATTTACTATTATCAATTTCAATACCCATACCTAATGCATTTAATTTTGTTACGAAGTAATTTATGTAATCGGAAGGGCTCCTGAGGTCTTCCTACACCAGTGAAGCCGGAAAGTCGCCATATGACCTATATTGTGTTGGTGCGACGTAAAACCCAACCATAATAATGATGATAACAACTAAAAAAGACGAGAAAAAGAATATACCCTTTATGTAAACCACAATTAATACCAAACCAATCAGTAGTAAAGTGACATTACAGCTATAACATTTTATTAATTACTCCCTTTCCAGCAATACGGTCCAATACGTTGGATCGGTCGATTTTATCATAAACCTTTCAAAGATCTATAAATGCGGCGAACGTAGGTTGCCGTTTATTAAAGTCCTGATTCAATAAATGAATGTCAAACTTGCCAGATGATAAATTGTAGTTCTCCCCTACCTAAACAGTTTTGCTGGATATTTGATGTAAGTATATTATTGTTTTTCAAGCATTTTGAAAGCCTATCATTTAAAAATAGAACAATAAAGCATATTGTTGATGCTCATGTAATACCTCTAGTACCTAGTGTCTAACAAATAATTATCTTTCGGTATAGGGTTGATAATTTCTTTTCACCAGGCTTTATTGTGGACTCTATGTCACATATGAATACAGGTATTTTTTAAAAAAAAATATTTCAATCAACAATTATGATACGATATGCAAGTGCCACGCATCCCTAAACAACTACAGGTGCTAGTGTTAATATTTTTGAAAGGTGGAGATCCATCGAAAGCAATACAAATAAAACACAAAAAGGTGAAAATAGCAGACCCGGTTTCAAGATTGAAAATAAACCTGAACACTGACTTTTCAGCAGTATTTGATATTTATCATTCAATCATTCTTAAAACCAAAGCTTGTCAACAACGTAAATGAGACATTCGGTTTTTGAAATGTTATCGTATCCAAACACTAAATTTTGACTGTGGTAATATCCAACATATAAAAAACCGAA